CAGTGAAGGTGGCAGCGTCACATCACTCACACTGGATTGGTTTATGTGTCGAGAGGATGCTATCGCCCGACCAATGAGGAGGGAAAGATGAGAGGCTTCAAAAAGGCGAATTATTCGAGACTGACTGCTCTTGGCATCTGTTAATCGGAATTCCCGTAGCACGTAAGCCGTCATATCGTAAGAGGCCAGGGCCTCTGCCACTAAAAATCCGTACCTTGCTGCCTCTTCCATTGGCCAGTAGGGTGGCTGGAACAAAAGCATCGAGAATTCTGTGTTAGTTATGAGTAGACTCTCTGAAATATCGATGACCTTAACAAATCACATGAACTTCGTTTACAAACAATAAAAAATTGGCATTTTTAGTGACCCACGAAAAGTGGCAGAATGGACACATACCTCTTTATCAAATTCGTAAGAATCTAGTTGAACTATTATAGAAGAGCCTGACTCCCAGATCATTCGCCAAAAATCTTCCACGAACGGCATAAGTGGTGTCTGTGTAGCGATGAACGATGATCTCACTCGATAGCTGTCGACGTAGGAGGCGTTGATGTAGTCGGAACCTTCAACTCCCCTTATCGACGATAATTTTACTCGGTTGCTCTCGTAGGGAATGAAATCGGTGCCGCGCCTATTTTTTGGTATGTTAACCTAAAGCAATAAAAATGCTGGAGTCTCGTCATATTTTAACTTGACAAACAGGTTACAGTGATGCATACGACTATGAAAATAAAATTATTAATCTTGTATTAAATAAGCTGCATAATTTTCTTCCACACATCAATTTGGCTGAGCATTATTGCCTGTTCTATTTGGAACTTGTTTTTCCAAATGCTTACCGGCAAGGCGCCACTCAGAACATCGGCTGATGAATCTCCAAAATCCTCAGAACACGCCAGCAGTCCGCCTGGAGAATGATGCGCAACCAACCCCGCAATCGGTCCAACTGTCTGATTAACCAATTGACCGAACTCCAAGGCCAGACCTGTATTAGCAAGGGGATCATGACTGGACTCCGGTGATGGTGTTGTAATTGTTTCCTCAGTACAGCAGGGCACTATCAATTTGTGCCAGTGATCACGTAACTGACGTGCCGAGAGCTCGGTATTTCCACTCAACCCGGCCTCTAGCAGGGCCTCGTAGATGAAAGCGTACTGCTCCTTGGTTTGAACCACAAAGTTACGTTGACTACGAAGCTGTGTTACCACAGCCAGGACATTGACTGAGTTCTCGTGGTGCATCTGTTGGAGGAGAATGTCCAACACTATGTAGGCACCTAATAATGGAGAAAACGCGGTTGTTGCAAGTAGGATAATGAAGTGCACATGGAGTGGTTTGGATAACTCATATTTTTCAGATTAAATATCTGCTAGTAATTGAAAAACATAATAAGTTTCCGGTTTTGCTTAGCGGAATTGTTGCGGTGGAAAATTCGTTTTATAGTACAAAAATAACTGCTGGCAGGAGGAGGAATTGTTGAAAGATTTTGTAAATACTTGGTAATTTAGTCCAGAATTTCAATGTTCAGAGACATTAGCTCTATTTCTACCAACAATGGAGGCTGCTTATGTGTTCGTTCAGCATCAGGGCCAACAGCAACAATCACCAAGAGTTCGGTCTAACCTGTGCGTCCCACTCCAGCTGAACAGTGAACGATGACTGGTCCAACATCAGGAACAAATTCTGCATTCACTCTGCGCAGGAACATGAGTAGTGGTGCGGGATGATTGGGAACTCCGTGATCTGGCCATGCGGTGAATTGTAGGTGACGAATTTCACGCTTCTCACGACACCTTCATTAGACGATAAGAAAGTGCAATACGTTTATCATTCCGCTCGAAGGAAAAACTATGTTGGCACCATGAAATAGCCAAAAGTATAAAGCACTACTTCTATCAATGCCTCAATGCATTTTTATTTGAGTTACTTCAAGGCAGTAGTGAACTTCTGACGCCTTTAGAAGAAGGCTGCGAGAAGTGGCCAAAACTCTATCGTTTCGGCACCAAATAATAAAGCTGACTTTCATCTCTAAGACCGTGGATGATAATGTGTCATTGACGGTTTCCGATTTTCGACCTGCAGCATTCATTGTAGAACTTACAACTAACAAGTCTGGATTTAGTCTTTTAGATAACTTACCCACTTTTCTGGACTGTGAATGTCCTCACAGTGTAATACGCCAACTCCATAGCATCCATCAAACTGACAGTAATCTGTCCATAGGTTGTGGTTGCTATTGGCGAAGCAGAAGCTGTGGTAATAGTCTGAGCACTCTCCGAGGCCGTTAGCATAGTTGCCCTTGGTGAGAGCCAATCGATGCTTTTCGTTGGGCTGAGTCGAGCGCTGGCCGGAAGACCACTGGACGGCCAGTACTGTTCACACTTGATCCTCTCTCTCTCCTCCAGTCGAGTCATCGCTACGATTGTGGTCGAGCGCTGCTCCCATACCATTCGCCAAAAGTCACAAACGGTATTTGGAAGTGGTCCCTTTGATGAAAAATCAAGCAATCATTAGTTGTATTACCAATCGCCCTAGGAATGGAAATCTCGACCTTTACTTGTCAACCATTTGACACAAACCTGGGTAGCTATGTAAGCTCTTTTCCGGTTGTAGCCATCAAGGAAGTTTGCATTGATGTAATCGCTTTCTAAGTCCCCGTCTATCCGACTTAAAACGACACGAGAATGATCGTAGGTGACTACATTGGCATATCGATTTTTGGGTCGATTTGCGGGCCGACTTGAATGCTCCCAAGTGAATTGACCTCCCGGATCAATGGACTCGAATTCCGCAGAGAGAAGAAGACCCTGATTCTGCTTCAGTTGTTCGACATGAGAGGCCAAGTCTTCCAGTGGCACTGGCTGTGATGTCACTTGGTCATCTAGCCAATGAGATAGCAGGAAAAACTTTAAGAGCCATTTAATGTCCCTATCTAACTAAAATAGTCGAATTAGATCTTCACTAATGCCTTGGTTCAAGATTTTCTTCAAAATCGTCTTCTTAAAAACTAAAGGCAATTCAAAGCTAAAGATCAAATGGATGCTTCAAGACCGTTACACTCACTCAACATATCGGGTATAAGGGGAGGCGGTGGGTTCATGAAGTAGGGCGGAGGTGGCTGCCGTACACCTAATCCCGTTGACAGCATTTCCAAGGAAACTGCCGTTCCAGTTACCGTTGGTGTTGAACAAACACAATTGCTGCCTACTGACATCACTGCCGCACTTTCGCCACAACCGCCGCCGCCCCCAGCGACACCAAATCGGCCAAGTGATGCATTACCCAGCAGTTCCGAGTGTAATGAAAGGCCATCGGGTGAGCGCATTCCTTGACCCGACATCAAAGGCTCGTAACGGAGGAGAGGAGCAGTAGCAGAAGAAAAGTTTGAAATTCCTTTGTGATTTGATTTCATTTGAGCAGCATCCAGTGGCTTTATGGTGTTGGCGTTTCCACCAAATTTTCCACCATGATGGTTATGTTGATGGTGAGAATGACCTCCACGATGCTGGAAGTGTCGGATTATGAGAAAGCAGACGAAGGCGAGGATGCAGACCCCGACGACAATAGAGAGAGCAGCAACAATTATCTGAATTCGATCGCTATGTGAAGAACCAGCCCTGAGGACAGATGTGGTGCGTGAGATCGGCTGTGCCACATGAACATTCCCATTGGCGGAAGGGAAGTAGACTTCCGTAGAGCTGAATTCCTGCTCTCCCAAACGTGGGACTAATAAGTGAATAATAATTTCTAACCATCTAAACATTTCTTGACATTCGAACACTAACATAATGCAGTTAAATAGCCTTCGCCATGTTCTACATATACCTGATTGTACTTCTTGATTGGTATTACTTCAGCCACCACCTTGGTGGTCCCGTGGTAGATTTGTGCCGTTTCTGGCAAAGTCCTACTGCCTACCCTACTTTCCTTGACCCAACCTTTGCTCAAGGGTATCATTTACGAAAGAAGACACAATTTGCATGCTTAATACCGTGTACAGAGTTACTAACACACCGAAGAGTATTGCTGAAAGCCAGCGAAAAGTACCTCTGTCGGAAAACTTACTAGTAGCAGCATCATTAAATGGCGTCTGTGAAGAAGTCGCAACGGCACTTATATTCTCCTTTACGATCGGAGGCCATAATGGATCATCTTCCTCACTGTCGTATCGAATCTGAGAGGTTATTTGGCTCACTCTTTTTGGACTCGAATTTATCGGTTCCGTACCCGACCAACTGCTTGTGCTGCAGAAAGCAGTTCCGCCCACACTCCGACCTTTGATGAGATCAAACTCTGAAGTGATGGCATCGTGACCCTAAAAAAGTTAGTAAATTCAATCTATGGAAGTTGGTTAATAAATTTGCAAGATATAGGAGTCATAACTTAATTGATCAAGTAGATAAAAATTTCTGCTAATATTTTTGTTTTCTAGATTTTGAAACGTCAAACACAAATCAAAACTCAAGCCTCATTTATGAAAAACCACTACCTTTGTGAAATTCTTAGAGGGCAACTGCAATTCTACAGTTGTCATGGTAATAGTAGACCGAAGAACGGCCTTACACAAAGGTAACAAAATAACCTAAAATTCCCATCCTACATTATCTTTAAAGATTAGAAAAAATATTTACTGATTTTTTTCAGTAGATGTATTTTATACCTCAACACATGTCCTAACGGCAACCTGGTATGCCTGGCCAGGCATAAGTGACGGTGCAAAGAAGATTCCACTTCCCCTATTTGAACTTGCTCCAGCAGATCCATTTAGAACCACACGTACCATCTTGGTAAGTGGTCTAAACAGCGTGACAGCTGGAAACTGTGCAAGCACAGCTGGGGCCTGAGTTTTACCAACCGGACCAGCCTCTCTAGCCAGAATTTCATAAGTGGCCACAGTTCCATTTTGTTCATCGGCGCGAAAAACCACTATAAGACCTGTTCCTCCGTTTATTGAAGCATGAAACTGAGGTGTAGGGACGAATTGGGGTGCTAAATGAAGACGGAAAGTTGTTAGTTAATATTCCGAAGCGCAAGGTTTATGGGTAAACAGTGGAGGAGGCATACGTTTGGAAAGCGTACGACAAAACACAGACTTTGCTTCACCAAAGACACCAGATGACATGGAACGTTTAAAAACAGGAAGCACGTCGATTTGATAGGCAGTATTAAAGTTCAGGCCGATCAGATGGTGTACGACAATACCGAAGGGAACTTCAGGGGCTCGTAATGATTGCTCACGTTCTCCCTGCGACTCTCGGATACGATGGCCATCTGCATTGAGGTAGACCCTTCCACCAGTATAATTGACCTTGAAGGGGCAAAAATTTTGGACTTCAAGGCTAACATTTCCTATCTTGGTTAAAGAGGACACTCCTGACCTACCAAGTAGTGGATGATAGGTGGAGCAGTGAGTGGTGCGACAAAGTTCCAGGTAAGTTCCAACTCAGCGTTGCTTCCGTTTACTGAGATGGCTTGACATTTGAGATTTCCAACAGCTATAAAATCTGTAGGAAGCGCTCTTCGAACCAGAATCGGAGTTGACCATTCACTATGCAAGTTGGCAATTCCAATTGCCCTCGCACGAATAACAAAATTTTCTGGATTCTCGAAAATGGGCTACAAGTGTACAAATAAAATCAACTAAAAAATAGTTAAATTAATACAACTTTGAGGATATTTGTCACCTAAAAATGCAGAAATGTAGGTCTTACTCGAATCTTTCACTTTCTCTCATGTCCCCCAGTTTGGTTGCAATAAGACTAGCACAGAAGGGTTTTCACTGGGAGTGCCGAATGCCGAGTTTAAAACAGGACGGAGGTCGATGTTTGTGCCCATTGTGTAGTTTTATCCCACAATTCTGCCTATGCCATGGGAGAGCACGAGGCTCTGCACATGCCAGGACTCCAGCTCTAGTCGCACCAGACTCGGTAAGTTGATTAATGGAAAATTTTGGACAAAAATTCCAATGATTTGTTTTTAGTGCATCGCCTTAGAAAATCACAAAAGTTTTCTTATCTTGTTAAATTATTTACACTGCATTTTCAACTTAATCAACGTTAAAACCATCTACACACACAAAATTGTGCTGCTGAATATAAAATTCAATTAACCCTGCTTCTCTTTCCCTCGCTCTCTTCCTTGCTTGCTTGCTTGCTCGCTCTCGCTCTCGCTCCCTCTCTCCCTTCCTCCCTCCTCCCTCCTCTCTTCGTGCACCTCACTTTTTCTCCTGGGGGGCAATGACAACTACACAAAGACAACACAAATGAACCCTCTTAATTAGACGCATTTTGTCCTCCGCTTCTTCTTTCACTTCATTTCCACTTTGAAGCAGAGACAAAATGATGCAATTTTCATCTGAACGGTTTAGATGCAACCTCAAATACAATCTATCAGGTTACGTCAGGCATACGGGGAAAAAAATCAGACAAAGAAGGGAAGGTAATTGAATGGCAGGTGATGGACAAGCTCATGAACAGCAATAGCGGGTAAAGAGGAGAAAAAAAGCTCTGCATCTGGTCCTTTTACAAATGGTATGGATATGCGCACCCGTCACCAATGTCGCTCTCGAATGGTGCCAGGGCGGTCTTAAAATGCCTAAACGCTGGAATCCCAACCAACTTGTAGACGTTCAAAGAGGACATACCATCGTAATACTTGTTTGTGGTCCCGCAGTTTTCAAAGTACTCCACTGTATAGGCTGTGCGATGTTCACCTGTTTGGCGTATTCCACCTCAAAGTGTCGATAGGTGAGCGATTTGGCCTCCGTTTTACTCCGTGCATTCTCACGGTGATAGGAGGTTTGTATGAAACCCTCAGGCATTGCCCAGGTGACGAGAACACCCTTCTCCTCCATGTAGACTGCATTCACAGAAGTTGGCTCCTTCGGCACTGGTGAGGTATGCAAGATAAACGGACCGAGTGATGTGAAAACAAAAAAAAAGAGGAGAAATTTTAGAAAATTAAATATTGGTGGAAGATTTGACAAAAGAAATTGCGAACAGGATCAAACAGAATGCAGCCAGTTGGAAGACTTTCATATTGCATGAAGCCGAGCACTCGCCTCCTCATCCGCTCGAAGGCATACACAAAGGAGTTGGTTGATCACGCAATGCATAGGATCGGCAAAAAACTGCCGAACAGTCCTTGTTTCCTTCCAGAAAGAACATAAATGCGACGGATGGGGAGGTAGTAGGAGGAAAATGAGTGTACCTTGCTGTATTAGCTTATTTTCTTCAACAATACTCGTTCTAATTTTCTCGCCACTACGCCTTAACGCCAGGAACAGCGCGTTGAGAAGGGCACAGTTGTGGAGAAGTGAGGCTTAGACATTCACGATAGACTAGAATTGGCATTTGGATGAATAGTGATTTGCGAAGGAGTTGATAGAACACCTTAAAAGTTTTTTCCCATTTAAGATGACGAGAAGTGGGGGAAATGTGGAGGCGGAGGGAGAGGCAGCAGCAGCTTGCTCCCTTTCCTCCTCATGTCTCTTCAAAAGGTTAAAACTCCTAAACTGTACCCACCTAATTGGTATTTGGCCCAAAGTGAATAATCTACGGAGCATGCTTGTGTCTGTGGATGTCTGCACTCCACCACACACCCACACACACCCAAACTCATTCACACAACACAAAAGATGCTCTGGAAGCAATGAGGTGCATGTCTTAGGGATGTGGATGAGATGACGGACAGATCGTTTGTTGATGTAAAAAACACTCGGGAGGCATTACAATGCAGTATTATAACGAGCCTTCCATGCTCAGGATGTAAACACGTAGAGAGTGATCTTTCCTCGCCTACGCTTTGCCTCTGCACTTGATAAAGGTGTAAAGAAACGACTGTGCTCCTCAAACTGTTCTTGACATCGTAATTCTGAGGCATTCCACTCAGCAGTGCCATACACTGCCTCATCATGAAGTGTCAAAGTCATCTCGTTCTTGAATCATGTCTACAGAGGATGGACTCAGGTTCGCTGAGTAGACACACTGGAAGCACATCAATCAAGTCCAATTATCATCTTCGAGCACGAGGGTTCAAATAAGAAAACACACTGGCTCTGACGATGTCAACACTTCATCAACAACCGAGGGGATGAAACCAGAATCTAGAATTTGGAGCAAATTAGTCACAGAATTGTAGCAGCCAAAGCGAATTGTTTACAGGGTTGCGTGGTCCCTTTGTTCTCTTACCCGAGGCTCTTCCCTTTCCTCTCAACCCCATAGGCTGCAAAGAACAGTCGTGGTTACGCAACTTATCCCATGCAGTACAATTTAATGCTGACCGCTTTAGGCCCTTTTGTACACTCTAACCCCTGCGCCTCCCCCAACTTCCCCTTCTTGCTAATGTTATTTCACTACAAAGGAGTCAGTAGTTAGGCCCAAACTTCCTTCTAATTTATTGAAAACTTAAAGGAAAAAGGAATCCTTGATTCACAAAATCGGCTTAACAGACCAGTAATCAGTCAAGTTATTATAAAGATGTTTGAAATGGCTACATCCACCCCTTTCGTCCCCTAATTTTTGTCCACCCTTCGGATGGTTATTTTCAATGCAATGATATGGGTAACAGTGGATTGCCCCATTTCACTCTGGGGATTGCGAGGTCCATCGAAAAACTCACCAAGGTGTTTTAGACTCAACGAAACGTAATCAGACCAAGGCCCTGCATCGGCTGGAGTCCAAGCACGAACGCGACCTCGGTAGACAGTTCTGGATGAGATGACAGCTGATGCAGAGATGTTGAACAGAGAAACTCGACCCGGTGGCCAAAAGAGTGTTGACGGTGGTGGAGAATTGTCTGGAGTAATTTTAACGGCTCTCGACTGCCAGGAGTCTGTAAAACCCTGAGACGAGTCAACCCAGGAACATTCAACTTCGTAGGCTACTAGACGCCCATTTCGGGCCTCCAATGGTGGAGCTTTCCAGTGGAGGTAAAGGTGAGGCGAGGTGGTATCGATACGGACCCCAGAGGGGGGCAGAGTAGGAACTGTCAAGATCAAAAGTAAAATCAGCCACCTGGCATATAATGTCATTGGTAAGTTTTGGAGGGATTTTACGCATGAAAAGTTGTAGTTCACCACCACCCCAAAAGAGAGTTGGTCAAACGAATTGCCGAAGAGGGATTATAGAAGGTAAAAATCATCATTATCATTGGTGAGCAATGCACCGAGTAAGCCTATACAGCCAGTTCCCCTCGTGGCCAAATGAGTGGTCGCAATGCCTTGGCTGGATGAACGTGTCTCCGGACAATGTCAACAGCCTCGACCCCATTCTATGTGCTGAATAGGTGCGCATCCGGATCAAGGCATACTCCTTTGTTCACCTTCAAGAAGTCAGGGGAGGCTACATTAGGGCTTTAGTAAAGCTCATAGGGATGTCCTTACTTTCCACTCCCTTGAAGCCTGTAAACCTGACCGACAAGATGCCGTTGGGAAATAGTCACACCGATTCTACCACTGTCGACGAAAGGTGCTTACAGTTGGCAGCACTAATAATGCAGATTTATAGCTTGAAGGCTCACCTACATATCCAGACTAAATACTGAAGAAAAGACGCCTTTTCGCCTTTTTCACTCACTTCTTATCACACAAAATGGAGCAGAATTTATTGTGATTATAAAAAAGGGACAGAAAAGCTTTATTTGATTTAAGTTTAAATGATGAAATATGCTGAAACTTGCAAAGAAAAAAGGGCTCAACTCAAAATTATTGTGAGGAAGAAAAAAAAAGCAATTGAACGATTTTAACTCATTTTGAGTTTTCTAGGGATATGTTTTATAAAATTGGTCCCATTCAGAACATCTCTACCCAAATTAACTTAAAATTGACTGTAACAGTAGGGTAGTTAACCAGGCACGTACCCTGTCTAATTAAATGTGTCTTAGGTAAAGTACTTAATTAAAAAATATGTGCATTCACAAAAGGCGCTGTTGTTTCACTTAGCATCATTAATATAATCATAGCCCAAATTAGCTTTCATCTTAATATGACATTTTAAACAAAGTTATCGCGAACTCTACTCCAAAGAACGTCAGTTGGAGATCAAGAGGCAAACGGTGCACCAAATCGTGGTTTCAGAACCAAGTTGTGAGAAAACTCCCTCGGCTATTTTGAGTTGATGAGGATAGCATATTCGGATAAAATTAGTAAAGAAATCGAACGTTTGACCACAAATGGCGACAGCACTGCTCCTTTAATGAAACCTGAAAAATCTGGCGGGCATTAAAATCAAATGCAAACTATGAAACATTGTAGCAAAACCAATTACACCGCAAAAAACAACTCTCTATGATGTTACTCGATCACTGAACCTTTGCTTATTTCGATACTGTGCGAACAAGTATTGTCGCTGCTAATATGGCGTGGTTGTCAAAGTCTTCCAGCCTATCGTGTTGCAAGCTTTTTGTATAGTTAATACACTTATAAAGTCACTTTATAAAAGAAATTTTTTTGCCAAACCTTAACAGCGCCAAGATTAAATGGTCGTGTTGGCTTCTGGTTTGCACGCTTAATGTATGATTTGCTGATTGGTGCATCCAAATGGGGCGCGTATTCCAGAAACTGCTGAACGGCGCAAATATATCGATCGAGATTATCGATATTACCTCATTTCCACAACTTTGGCGGTCAAAGTAATACCTAGATTAGCGATCAGCTAACCTACTAAGCGAAACCGAAATGGTGCAGCAGAAAGGGTAACTCACTGTCATCTGGAAGCTCAATCCTCCCTATAACACTTTCACCTGTCTGGTACTCGTCCATTGTGGCCACTCGCACCTCGTAGGAGAGTCCGCCAACTACAATGCAGCCAACCAAGTCACCCACAATCCTGGCACGAGTACATACATTTTGCCATTTTCACATCTTACGCAGTTTTCCTGCAGGTGAGTCCCAATTGAGCTTCGTCACATTCTCTTCACCTTCAATCAACTCAGCCATAATGCCCAATTCTTTGGCTCTCTCGGGTGACACGGGTTCCAGATTTGCATTGTCATATTCTGTAGCTAGTTTTGGCTGAATAAGAAGTCTCCATTCAAGGCGATATTTGAATCCTCCCATGGGAACTTTTTCCTGTAGCGGAGTTCCCCATTGTACTTGCAGGATTCGGCGCCTTGAAGTTGGCGAAACCATAGTTCGGAGTTTGAGTGATGTTGGACGATTGGGAGCTAATGAAGCACAATCTGGATCATTAACGAATGACGAAATACAATGGCACTTTAAAAGGCGATTTTGTAAGAGTTATTGCCAAAAAAATTTTGCGAGGCAATTGACTGCCAATTTATTTGGACGATTTTAGTCTCATGACTTGAACGGCTTAGTGCATTTCGACTCACGCAAAGGCCATGTCATCGTGGGAGTTGATTTGGCTCTATCACCTGACCCAGATCTGGAAACTGCGCGGATGTGAACGACATAATACGTGCTGGGAAGGAGGCCAGTAATCTCCCTTGTGTATGTTAATTTGCCTCGTGCCTCTTCAATTTTCCTCTCTGACGTTGATTGTTGCCGTATGGGTCTCTGTTGGTCCACTGTTCCATACTGTGGTCCACTCAACCAATTACCCTAAAATGTTTTTTTTGTATTTTTGTCAGAAAATAGAAAAGAATGCTACCAATCTCAATAACTTCCATGAAATGAATGAGTAAATAAATGGTATCTACACTATAGTTTTGGAGTGCAGTGGTTCCTTAAAGTTGTTTCTTTAACCACTGCACTCATGCAGAGAGCCTCTCATCTTGGGGAACGGACTGAAAATAACGAAGTGTGGGTTATATCAAATTGTTTCTAACTATTTGATTGCATTGAAATATATGAATGTGAAGCCTAAAATTCTCAAACTGCTTTTCTATCCATTAGAAGGTCATCTTTGACTCATGGAGAGACTAGTGCTGTTTGTCAGAACCACATCTTAAGCGAAAAAGTGGGAGACTTATAAGACACTGTGAAATCTCTTCCTAAGTTCACGTTATTACCCCAATTCAGCGCAATTTATCGGATCTATCCACTCTCAGTTCGTACTTCAATCTACCTTTTTCGATAACTCCTCAATCGCCTAATTTGAAATGCATTACTCACTCCATTCCCATTGGTTACTCAAACATGCACAATGATTATAGGACGAACATTGCATATTTTTCCCCTTTTTTGAATGTTTATCTAACGGTGCAGCCTTACATATCTCCGCTATCCTCCTGGTGAAGTCCTCCTCCAACGTTTATAGTCATGGCACCCAAGTGGATTGGTTCTCGGGCCATACTAACATCCCTGATCTTCTTCTATTCTGTCCAAAGCTACATCTTATCTTTCTACAATTTCCAATCTACTTTCATCTCTATCTCCTACCTCCTTTTGTCTGCAAAAAAAAAGAAGTTGAAGAAATATGAGGCGCCACATCAGATCAATGTAATGTATCCACATTAGTGGCGAAGACTTAGTTGAATCATAAATACACATGGCAAAGGTCTACAGAACAAAAGGCCAACGAATGTTTAATTGTTTCATTGATCTCTCAGCTTGTAGTAACCACGAGCATGAGTCATTTTTTTAACAAATCGGCACCACCGGTCGACTGAGGAACAGCTCTTCGCAATACCTCGGTGAATCAGTATAAGTACAGCCATTAAGAGCAGTTGGCTAAAGTGAGGACAATTTTTCTTAAGGTCGCTTAGAGTAGTAAATTTTCCCCATTTTCTACCTTGTCAAACGTTTTCAATACAAAGAAGGTTGCCGCTCATTCACTGCATCCTTTAACTCGCATCAGCAGGCTTGTAATTTCTTTCGCCCACTTATCGTGCCAACTTTTCATCCTAATTAAAGATGCAAATTTTCCTTTAGAAGTGCTAGTTGGAAAAAGTGCGCCTACGAGAGGACATCCAGATGATCCACTCCATAGAAAAACGTTGTACTTCCATGGAAGTATTGGCATTTAGTAAAGTTGCTTATAAATAGGTCATACAGACTCCACTTACAACAAAGGATGGAATTCACCAAAATGAGATCCCAGTAGCAACTAGATTTGTAATTATGCCCACTTTTAACTGCAAAGCAGCTGAAGATGGGCATCCACGTTCTTACACCACACCTAACCTATAGAAATCAAAGAGAGAGATGCACATTTGTGTTCCCGATCCCCTAAATGACTCGCTCATTACCCTCCTCAGCGAATTGCAATTAATGTGGGTGTTTAAGTTGATAGTGGAGGATGAACGTAGACGTTGGAGCGATCATTCACTGCGGATATTCCACTTGACCAATATTAAACAGCAATTGGAAGGGTGAGTTGCCTACTGGCTACAACTGGAAGTTGAAAAATAAAAGGAGGCACAACTACTTGATGAAAAGGTCGAATTGCAACCCCAGACCCTGTATGCCTTAATGCTAGAAATGTGCCTGCGATTTCATGCCACTCAACGGGGTAGGATGATTAGAAAGAGGGACAGAGAGAAGTACCACCTCATCGTCCCTGTTTTGTCAAAGTGATTACCGCCTCTTGTTTCCATTAGACAATCGCACAATCACACGTAACGCATAACGGACGATTCGAGACTGGGTGTGCCCAAAGCGAATCAGTTTGCCCCAGAAGCAAATCGTGACATCGTGCCATACTATAGCAATCATGTTAATCTTGTAGGCTATAAACGACTACATTTTTGTAAGTTGAAAATTTCAGTCATAATACTGTACAGTGGTAGCTATGGCGCAGTTGATTTTTTAACTATTCATTCTGATTTGGTGGGCGCTTTGATGACTCCTCTTTATTCTTTCCCTACATCTGTCAGTCGCTCCTTGAACTTTTCCACAAGTCGGCAGTGTCTATTCTGCTCGTGTGCGCGAACCCGCTTGTATCTATGATGAAGTTCAGCGAAAGTGAGTTGCATTTCAGTACCTGGTTCTGACTTCAGTGGACCTCCAAACCTCCTTCCCATCGTGTTATGCTTTCCCTTGCAGTGATCAGCACTTTTGGTAAGAGTAAGAGCAAGCTCTTGGTCATGCACCTCACTGGCAGGGCCGCGTGCTCTCTGTGGGTGAGGTTTCGGCTCTCAGCTCCTCCTCCCCTTCCCTTCTGTCCTTTCCACGATCGTTGCATGCCAATCACAACGCATGTCCCAGTTGTCTTTCCCTAACCTCATTTATAAAGGCACTTGATTTGTTGGATGAACTAGTAATTTAACTTGACTATTTCCCCGAAAAAAATTTTTGACTCATTTTAGCAAGACATTACAAAGAAGAGACTGTTATTTATGCATGTCTGGAAGTCGTGTGTCGATGGCAATGCTCCAGCTAGCTTGTTTAAGGAATTCACGTTCGAAATGCTTATACACGGAACCATATTTGGCAGTTTGGTGGAGGAGTTACTTGTCTGACAGTCAAATTAGTAAAAAACAACTCAGTAAATACAAAAACGCTCCATCAACAGTGGCTCAGTTTTCTTGTGATAGCAGACAAAGCTGAAAAAAAGTAGTTTTACGAATGAAGAGAAAGTTGAAGGACAGGTGCTTAATACTGACCAACAGTTTCAAACTATACCCCATTCCAATCCATTTCAATGGAGAATAGTTAATATAAAACTTTGCGGTTTTGGTGTTTTTACCGGATCTCAATCACTCGTGAGGCATGTTTTCACCTCTCATGGTGCTTATAACTGCTCTGATTCGTGATGATACAAGGAAATTTTGGACTAACATTGGCATCACTCTTTCAGAACAGTGCAAGTGCCAGTGTGATGCGTAAAGAATGGAAAGCTGAGAGGGGACAGTTGGATCTCTCCGATGTTCCAAACTGTACCCATCAAAATTATGCAGTCAACTTTTGATCATCTTGCAGTAAATTGAGGTGGTGTCAAAATCCAACACTTTAAGACAAGGTTTTCGGTGGCCAGAAAGGCCTCATGAGCATCCAATGCTACACATCCTACCTTAGAGTCGGTAGTGCGAATGTCAATGTCGTAAAAGGCGATTCGAAGTTCATTCGCCCTTTGTCCCATGTTGACTAGAAGAGAGGGTAAAATCGACTCCTTCGGTGGTGTCCAAGTGATGCGCAAACGATCACTTCCTGTCGCCTCGACAGTCACCAAATTTGGAGGTCCAGGGACTGGAAAATGAAGAAAGGAAATTGGGGTCTAAAACTACGTCCATATCATTTTTTTACAGGTTGCCAATTGTAGCAGTGCTTCAAGCACTCTGCTTTTAACAATCAACGAATTTTGGATCTTCTTCCTTCAGAGCCAGCAAATCAGTCATGCTGACGCATGGGAATGACAGCTCCTTCGTCGATGGAAGGAGGTATCACAGCGAAACAAACATTCGGTAAACATGACAAGGCTTTGGGAGTAAAGATACCCTCGCATTTGGGCACAGCGATTCTACATTCAGAAGACGTAGTCACTACTTTCCGACCCACCGCTTGAGCAAAGCGCTAGAAAACAATTCAAACGTTCAAAATTTTATCCACTTTGACAGTCATCTTACCTCCGCGTTAATGGACCAAGTAAACATTCTCATTTCTTCTACCGAGCAATTGGGATAAGATTTTAACGTTATGCTCAGGTATCCAAGTATGAGATTTGGTCGGGTCCTGTCAATAAGCCTGTCAAATGTGGTCACAAAATTGGCAGTTGTTTGACATAGCACTGGTGGACGCATTTTGTGCTACCCACTTTCAGGTCACAAAATTGCGATTATGCATTTGCTGACACTTCAAAGTGTCCCATAAAAGTTACCGCCATTTCACCTAACAAAAAAGACAGTTCAGATTTTTGACTTGACACCTTTTGTCAGACTTTATAAGCTAGACAAAGATATTTGATTTTCTTTTTGGTGTCTGAATATTTTATGTCTGAAAGGTCATAAATTAAGTGGAAGTTAGTTCAGTGATCAGTATAGTTGGTTCAAACCCTTCCTTTTAATCAGCCAATCGGTCTCTTCGGCTAATCTACTCAAAACTCCAAGAAAGGAGAAGTGAATTGAGCGCACCATATTCCTTCGTTTTGGCGGTGGTGTCGGTTTGAATGCCAGCACCGGTTTCGGACACTGCGGCTAGACGAAATTCATATTTCGTATTTGGCAGAAGACCAGTCACCAAGTAGCTGTTTAAACTGGGTTCAATGAAAACTTGTCGTGATGTTGCCTCCATGTTCCCTTCCCCATCCAGTGGGGTTACAAGAAGCTCGTAATTCACCAGAGGAGGTTCGCGTTGTTGGGTGTCGGGAGTGTCCCAGTGGAGAGACACCTCGTGGGCCGACTTTGAGACGGCTTTGAAGTTCACTGGCGGAGGTAATGCTAAATCGGAATCAAAAGGAAGTTAATTATACTTTTTTAAGGTTGTCAAGGTTGACGACAGATGCATAGGCGAGCCCTTATTACTCGTTTGTAGGGGTAAAATTACTAAAACGCGGCCTCAATAAAAATAAAAAATAAATGTAGGATAAATTCATACAGACCATCATAGCGGCCAAGAGTTATTGCTGTCTTGCAAAGAACTTTAGAGCGCACCTTCCAAGAGTGTCACTAGTTTTACTCCTCCTTAGATAACAAACAAAAAGAGTCGCGATTTCCAGCATAAGTGGTTGAAAACTTTTGGAAACCCAAACTTCCTCATGATCTCTGTACTTTGCCAGAAAAAAGATCAACTTCTTGTTCTTCTGGATGTCAAGCTCTTCTCGCACCTAAGGCAGGGTGCACGAAGAGCTGAAGGGTTCTACGATCATGTGACTCCGCAACCCCACTAATCTGACTCCCAAGTACGGGTTCATTTAGTGCACCCTTAGATCGTTATTTCTACCTCAATATTATCAGTCATTACAATAATGTTAGTAATACCATCCTCAGCTCAGCGTTTTGATTAGTTAAAGTTTGCCCTATTAAGGTAGCCCATGGACCTGGCGTCACAATTAGGCTTGGGTGCATTTCAAGACCTCACTAACCTCCAGGTCTAACAATGACCGGGTACGGCGGTGAAATCGGTCCATCGCCCTTGACATTGGAAGCACTGACACGGATGTGATAGGTAGCATTTGAACGCAAATGAGTCAGCAGCGTCAGAGTGCTGGTACTGCCGGTGAAATCGGATTGGCTCAGGGCTGAGTCCACTTGAACCAACTTAACGCTCCACTCAGCCAATGGCAACTTGGGATCCTCCGTATAGTAAACTCGATACATCTGTACGAGGTAACAAATCAATCAAGTGTTTCTTTTTCTTAAAAACCATTTTAAGGTATCGTACACTTTGAAATGTTACTACTTTCATATGCAACGATTAAACATGACAGCAAATCAAGTTCATGTGGTCTTGAACCCCCGCCAATGTTAAGCATCGAATAAGTGGTTTATAAAAATTTAAAATGAAGGTATAAACAGCCTTGTGACGATTGAATGAGAGACCTACCGTCTTGTAGTCCCCAATCATCCACCATCACGATAAATAACAAGTGGATAGTCTTACATTTACAAATTTACTGATGTCAAGCCGCTTGCCTATTCTTAGACCACCTTTTCATCGGTTAACGGAGGTGTTACAATGATTTGGCGCAGTGGATGTGAGATCACATCCGCCTTCATCTTCTTCATTGTGCTTTTTTTATTTTGATAATCCACGTAATTGCAACTTTTTAGTCCCAGGTAGTCTGATTGATCTGCCTACCGGAAGTGGAAAGTGTCTGGTCTGTGATGAAAGGGTGTCTAAAGCACGCCTAAGAGTTATGATAGCAGGCTTTTAAAACTGTATTCCAAATAGTTGTTACGAAAGAAGTGTTCGCTCCTGTTTTCCAAGCTTTCCCCCTTCTCTCATAGTTAGGCAGCCGTCTGCCTTGAAAGGGAGTTTTCTCATTAAAATCTCTGTTTACTCGAAATGAGCACTTAAAAAAAATTGGATTATTAAACTACTGTTTGCAATGCTCTGAGGGAACACAAAAACATATTTCTTTCCAGAGTTCTTCCACTTTTAGAACTTATGCCAAGGGTCCAAAAAGCGATTGCAAAGCCAAAAGCGGTAGCAAGCAATACGACCTGCAGTGGCAGTACATTTGCATTTCCATTCACACAGATTTATATTTTGTTTGGCGAGGCGAGCCATACCAGACGTGACTGGCTTAAGCGTTGGTGAAATAAGAGCCAACTCAAATGATGGAAAACCATTAATTCCATCTCTCTC